CTTCGACTCCTGATCCTGACTTGGCTTCCTTGAGTGGTCAGATTAGCCAGTTTCAGCATATACTGTCTACCTCCCAGCCATTCCCATCTGCCTCCATTGTTTCCTCTCTTTATTCAGGTTTGCTTGGGTCTGCTTCAGGTATCTCTTTGTCTGTTTGGATTTTTGACTCTGATGCTTCTCATCATATGGCTCCCCATCTCTCATTTCTTCAAAATTGTACTCTCCCTCCCTTTCCTATTACCGTTAATGCTACTAATGGGTCTACTACATCTGTTATATCTGTTGGATTTGTCTTACCATCTGCTATGTCTGCTGTCTCTATTCCATCTGTCTTTTATGTTCCTCAGTTATCTGTCAGTTCATTATCTATCAGTCAGCTTGATGTCTCTGACTTTGATGTTATCTTTTCTTCTTCTATTTGTTCTATGCCGGATCGGATGTCTAAGCAGCAGATTAGGACCGGCCGTAGAGTTGGAGACCTCTATATGGTAGAGAGCTTGCATCTGCCTAAGGCAACCTCTCCAACTGCCTTTTCATCTTTTTAGTTAGATTCTCTGTCTAGTCCTTTTTACTTGTGGCATTTTAGATTGGGGCATTTGTATGCTGATCGCTTACGGTCTTTAGCTCAGTCTGGTCTATTGGGTAAAGTTTCTCGTAGTGAACTTACTGAATGTCGAGGTTGTAAACTTGCCAAAATGACAGCCTTACCTTTTCATAAATTACTTCCATATTTGATATACCGTTTTCTTTAGTTCATACTGATGTTTGGGGCCCTTCTCCTGTTCTCACCAAAAGAGGTTTTGCATACTATGTGTCATTTGTTGATGACTGCACTCGTTACACTTGGGTTTATCTTATGACTCATAAGTCCGACTTCTATCAGATATACCATACCTTTCAGTCTATGATCACTACTCAGTTTAGGTCTACAATTAAAGTGTTACAGTCTAACTTGGGTGAGGAATATTTTAAAAATGAGTTATGTGAGTATTTGGCCAATTTGGGTACCATTCACCAAACTTCTTGTACTGATACACCTGCCCAAAATGGTCGAGCTGATCTTAAACACCGTCATCTTCTTAAGACAGTTAGGTCTCTTCTCTCTGCCTCAGTCGCAGCTCCGTTTTGGAGAGAAACAGTTCTTACTGCTGCTTTTCTTCGCAACCGTATGCCTACTTCCCTTCTTTCTGGTGAGCCTCCTTATGAGGCTCTGTTCTCTCAACTTCCCAATTACTTCCTCCTTCGTGTGTTTGGGTCTACTTGTTTTGTCCTTCTTCCCCGTATAGATCGAACCAAACTTAGTGCCCGGTCTGTCCTATGTGTCTTTTTGGGTTATAGTTCTACTCAGAAAGGCTATCGGTGTTACGACCCTATTTCCCGTCGTCTTTATGTCTCCCGTCATGTTTCTTTTCTCGAACGTCTACCTTACTTTCAGCTTCCTCCTGTCACTGCTCCAGTTTCCAAAGAGGATTTGGTTCACATTGACCCATTTCGTTCTGAGGTACTGTCTGATAAGTACATCTCCACAGTTCCTCTTGAGCTTGTTTCATCTTCTCCTCTAGTTGCTGCTTCTCCTTTAGTTTCTTCTCCTCCTCCGTTAGTTTATTCTTATCGCAAGGCTCCTCCACCGGTTGTCTCTACCCCTGCTGCTGATCCTCCTGCTTCTGACAACTCTGATCCTGTTGCACATCGATATCCTACTCGAGCGCGTCATCCTCAAAACAGGTTGGGTTGGTCTAACACATGTTGTTCTGCTTCCTATCGTACTTTTTTGTCTGTTATTCACTCTTTTTCAGAACCTTAGTCTTACAAGGAGGTCTTTCAGGATCCTTAGTGGATTCAAGCTATGGAGGATGAGTTGTCTGCTTTATAGAAAACTCGTACTTGGGGGTTGGTTCCTTTGTCTGCTGGTAAGAATCTGGTTGGTTACAAATGGGTCGACAAAGTCAAGACTCATTCAGATGGTTCTCTTGAGCGCTACAAAGCTCGTCTGGTTGCCAAAGGTTTCTCACAGGAGTATTGTATTGATTATGAGGAGACCTTTGTTCGTGTTACCAAGATGACTACTATCCGTACTTTGACCTCTGTCGTTGCTATTCATTCTTGGCTTCTTTACCAAATGGATGTTAAGAATGCTTTTCTTAATGGCCATTTCACCGAAGAGGTTTACATGCGTCCTCCCATTGGCCTTCACCATTCCTCTAGATAGGTTTGTCGCCTTCAGCGTGCTCTGTATGGTCTGAAACAGTCTCCTCGTGCTTGGTATGATCGCTTTCAGATTGTTGTTATTAAGATTGGGTTTCATCCTTCTGCTTCCGACTCTACTTTGTTTCTGAGACATACCTCGGCTGGTTTTGTTGCTCTCCTACTCTACGTGGATGATATGATCATCACTGGCTCTAACTGTCTGCTATCTCTGAGGTCAAACAACATCTCTTTCGCACTTTCGAAATGAAATATTTGGGTCCATTGCGGTATTTTCTTGGTATTAAGGTTGCCTCTTCTCCTAAGGGCTATTTTCTGTCTCAGGCCAAGTATGCTAATGAGGTTATTCACCGTGCCGATTTTACTGATACTAAAAGGTTTCTGATACCCCCATTGAGTTTAATGTGAAGCTCAGCTCAACTCAACTGATGGTGTCCCTCTGGATGATCTCACTTTCTATCGTGAGCTTGTGGGTTGTTTAGTTTATTTGACTGTCACTCACCCTGATCTTGCTTATGTTGTTCATGTGGTTAGTCAGTTTGTTTCTGCTCCTCGCTCCACACATTGGGCTGTATTGGTTCGGATTCTTCGTTATCTCCGAGGCACTATCTTTCAGGATTTACTTTTGTCTTTTACTTCCTCTCTGGATTTGGTGGCCTATGCTAATTCTAATTGGACTGGTGATGATACTCATTGTAAGTCCACGTCTGGATTCTGTATGTTTCTTGGCGATTCCTTGATCTCTTGAAAAAACAAGAAACAAACTGTTGTTGCTCGCTCTACTGCCGAAGCTAAGTACCGTGCTATGGCTCATGCTACTGCTGAGATTGTTTGGTTTCGTTGTCTCTTATCTGATTTTGGTGTCCCTCAGTCTTCTCTGACCTCCCTCTACTGTGACAACCGTAGTGCTATTCAGATTGCTCATAACACTGTCTTCCATGAGCGGACAAAGCATATTGAGATTGATTGTCACTTTGTCCGTCACCCTCTGCAGTCTGGCTCTATCTCACTTCCTTTCGTTTCTTCGGCTTTACAACTTGTTGACTTTTTTACCAAGACTCACACCACTGCTCAGTTTCAGTTTCTTCTTGGCAAACTCTCAATGTTTTTTGCTAAAACACCTTGAGTTTGAGTGGGGGTGTGAGAATATTATGTTTCATGTATATATAGTAGTTTATATATTCTGCATATATTAGGGCTTTTGTTTCCTTTTTCAGTTCTAGGGTTAGAGTGATATATAAATCAAATGTATTCTTTGTATTATTACACAATTGAATATACAGAAAACATTCAGAAATCTTACAAAGAGGCCAATCTAGATTAGCTGCAAGAGAGAGTAGTGTCCTGACTAAATTTGTCTTTGCAACCGGAGCAAATGCCTCTTGATAATCAACTCCATAGATTTGAGTAAAGCCCTTTGCCACAAGTCGAGCCTTATAACGCTCAATCGAACCATCTGCTCTGTGCTTCACAATATACACCCAAGCTCCATTCACCCACTTTCCTCTCGTAGATGTTGCATATGCTTCAACTGAAGGCAACTCTAGTCATGTGTACAGGTGCAATGAAATCTGCCTTGTCAAGCTAGACAATTCGGTTGGCATGATAATAAGAATTTTGTACAATAATGCCTTAATCATAATTCATGACTGACCTTGTATATATATATATACTAAATTGGAGAGATTACAAATTAAAAGGTAGAATAAAATAAAATCATAATAAAGAAAAATAGCCAAATATCCCGTAACACATGTTTTACGGGATCCTAAGTATATTCCAACACTCCTCCCCCACAAGCTGTTTCAAAGATATTCACTAAACCAAGCTTGACAATGGAAGACTGTAACAAGGTTGGTCCAACAGATTTGGTGAACATATCAGCCAGCTGCTCAGATGAAGGGACAAAGGATGGACTCACCACTTTAGTCCTAACCTTTTGCCTAATGAAATGAATGTCCACCTCTACACCAAGAAGAATTTTGTGCAATAATGGCTTAATTATAATTCATGACTAGCCTTGTATATATATACTACCTTGGAGAGATTACAAATTAGGAAGGTAGAATAAAATAAAATCATAATAAAGAAAAATAGCCTAATATCCTGTAATACATGATTTACGAGATCCTAACTTATTCACATATTATAGCATGATAAGGATGACCGTTTAGGTTATTTAATTGTTGTTGACCCTAAGATTATTTGGTACGAAAGAGTTAGGTCCAACATTTATCCAAAGCATTGATTCACATAATACATTCTTCAGCATTCACCACCAAGCAATGCAACTTAGCAACTAAAAATTAATTGCTATGAACTTCACATCCTGATTATTATATACCACTTTAATTATGAAATTTTTTCTACTAGACATTAGTGCAGAAATAGCCATAATATGCCTTTTTTTCCGCTTCAATTTAATACTGGTGAGATTAGCTATCATGTTTGACCCATTTTAGTGTAAGCAATGTTCTTTGGCTTCTTAGTGGCTTGTTTAAATGCATTATGAACTATAGTTTCTATATATGCAAATGTATGTTGTGTTAACCTTTCACTCTTTTACAAATGATTTCTTGTTATTTGTTGTTGTTACTGTTATTTATTTCGTCTTAGAATTTGACATTACTTCAGCAGTGAGGTCAGTTCAAATATTCAGCATCATTTATTAGCGAGGACTGTGATTTAAAGTAGAATGTCTCCAATCTCCATACTCATTTTTATGTGGTGATCAAATGCCCCTTTCATACCTGCTCAATTTTCATCACTGTTCTTTACATTATGATGCCTTTCAGCCGGTGTAGCTAGTGGAGCAACTAGAGCTGCCCTGACACAGCATTTTGCCCTTCACAATAATGCAGCAGATATATCTGCCAAGGTACCATAAGAGACTTGACAATTTAACAAAAAAAATTGCATGAACTACTGGCCTACACTAAATATAGCTCATATTGACTGAGATCCTGTCCCTTATTCTGACAGGAAGGAAGTCAGGAGACACTCGCCACAATGATTGGGATGGCTTTGGGAATGCTTCTGGCACGGGTTACAATTGGACACCCCCTAGCCATATGGCTTTCTTTTTTGTCCCTGACCATGTTCCATATGTACGGTTAGTTCCATTTCTAAGATTTTCTAAATGGACATTCTGTCATGAATGGAATGTTACATCATGCACATTCCTGGGAGCCCTCATGTCGAGTCTGATTTTGTTCACACATACATTTTGATTGGTGCAGAATGGTAGAACCTACCATTTTGGTTGGGGTTGTTTCACTTTTTTGAGTATGGAGTCCACATATTTGGACCAATCATATTTCGGCAATGTGGGTTCAAATGAAATTATGCGTCCCTGTGTCTTATTTATAGCTTTGGCTGTTTGCAGCAAACTACAAGGCTGTTCGGTGCCTTTCATTAACTACACTGAACTGTGAAAGAAGCTCAATACTTTTGCTCCATTTTATGAAGACTGGTGGCCAAGGTGTGGCACATGATCTGTTATCATCATTCTTTCTGGACAAGTGACTTTTATTTTCACTAACATGTTTGGTGAAGGTTGTTTACAAGTTTGATAACATTGTCCTGGGAAAGAGCATGTCATGGGAATTATGTGCGCCCAACAACATCAAGTTTTGTCATACATATATGTTAGTGTGGTTGAATTATCAAATGGTTTTGTGCAAAGATATCCAATTTTCCAAACACAAACCAGTAAAATTTGAAATGAAACATCTTGTTTTTTAAAGGTAAATACAGGATTTATAATCTGTTTTTAACTAAATACTATTAAAAAGTAAAAAAAAAAAATGCAATTGCAAAATTGCAGGATTATGTTGATAGGTTTGCATACAGAACGCATATATATATATATATATATATTTGTTTATATATGCCAATATACATCCTTTTTAAGTAATGATATATGAATTTTTTTTTTTTGTTTTTTTTGGATGAGTTATATGATTTAGAAACCATCTGTGGCTTGGCTGCCAGTTCTCTCTCCAGAGCAGGTCTCTGACATGGAGCATGTTTTACCATTATGGACCACTTCATGGATCTCGAAGATTCCCAAGTTTTTGCATACACGGGTACACATAGGTGTGAGGGTTTCCTCACTTAACCACCAGGAAATGTAAGTTATCAAATTCACTAAATTTTATCAGCGACATTAACATTAAGGGCACTTTTTAGGTGTGCAAGCAGTTTTGTCCGGTTAAAAGTCAAATATTTTAACACTATGATTTTTTATGCTTGCATTTTTGTGACAAATTGTGCATGAATCATTGGAGCTGTTGGGTTGTTGTATTCACATATCTCTCAAAGCAAAAATTCTTTGATATATGTATATTAAACTGCATATAGACAGAATATTTAAGTGACTTATTTCTTATCTGACAAACAGGACAAGCCTCTTGCATTCTGCTCGATCTCATTACAAGGAAGGTTGAAATTTATTTATTACTTTGCCATCATGAATATTCAACCAAAAAATGTTGGCTTACTTGGTTATTCAATTTTGGTTCTTCTAGCAAAGTACTTGCTGTTTGAGCAAAAGGGAGCCGTCAGCATTGTTATGCATAAGGATTCGACAGCTGCGAATGTCTTGGAGGCATTCTTGCATGCTCTTGTCATGGAAAATCTTGATGGCAAGGACAGATCTTCACATTTGGAGAGCCATTCATGGATGGATAAACACTATGAAAATTTTATTCTAAAGGTATATGATGCGGAATGTGTGTGCACCATGGAGTTCTTATAATTTGTCTTTAATATTTATTATCTAATTTATTTTAGTATTTTACTTTTAATTATAGTTTAATTGAAGTTTTATTTTGGTTAAGAATTTAATTAATATTTATTTTCCTGTTTTTATTAGGATTTTGTTTCATGTTTTAAATTAGTGTATAAGTATTAGATTTCTGCATTGTAATAATCAGCTTTGAATTATTGATATTGAATAAAAGATCGTGGCCGTTTTCTGAGATTAGGGTTTTAACCCTTGTGTTCTTCTCTTCTTCATCTTAAATCTTTTGGTCTTTTTACTATCTTAAAAAAAATAAAATTCTTTTGAAGTCTTTGGATCAATTCTCCATTACTTCTGGGTTTGAGATCAATGGAATAGTTGAATGGATTTTTTAATAGTCGTTCTGCATCAATATTATTCTCTAGGTTGCCCTTCAATTTCAATTTTCAATTACTTGGAATTGCTTACAGTTTTGTGTGTAATTTCTGGTACAAACGAGCATTTAGAAATAAGTTTTGCAGGCTACACTGTGCCTAAGGGGATAATGTCAACAAATGAACTAGGGGATAAGTTCCCAGAATCTGTAACTTATCAATTGTCAAAATAGAGAGAAGGAACTGCACTCGTAAAACACTATTAATTTTCAGTTGAGAAATCAAATACACGGGGATTATAATTCTTTAATGCATTTACACTGCATCTCAGAAGCTTGAATTTTGCATCGTTACTATACCTTATAATCTCTACTCATTTTACAGCTGCAGTCATTAGGGTGGAAAACAGAACGTCTTTTGTCAGCCTCAATCATTTGGAAGGCAAATTGGAGGCTGGGGCCTTTGAATGAAAAGATTGACTAAGAAACTTCAGGTATTACATAAATATTGATGTGTAGTGCTGGTGGAATTGAGATAGTGAAACTGATGGGCCCAATCAAGAACAAGAGAGAAATAAGAGGGAACCCTAGAGAGAGGATTTCTCAATCAATCAATGTTCAATATCAAAAGTTGGTTACAAAGTCGGTTATGACTCATGATATAAGCTATATTATCCCACTACTAATTATCACATGCCAAGCAGATGATATCCTACATCAGAAACTAACAGCCATTCTATTTGAAGGGTAAAGCTGTCACTTTGAGGTAATTGATAGATTCTGAATTGCGGAGATTAATTTTGTTAGATGATTGACAACATTAATACAGGGAAACGGGGTCTGCTGTCTGAGATTGCAATGCAAATCTGGCAAGAGTAACCATTATTTATTACTATTGTCTTAAAACTATTATGTCATCACTGGTTTGGGGCTTCCATTTCTGTTGGAGCTCTCAATATTCTGAGCATAACTCTGGTACATGTCTCTCATCAGCTCAAGTTAAGCCTTCACTTTATGGCATTTTGAGTTAACTGTCGGTTTTGAAACTGCGGTGTTAGAAATTGGAGTAAGACTTCACAATAATTTGGTTTTGCTTTCAGTGGAAGGTTGATGTGTTACTCTATTTTTGTTTTACTTATTTATTTATTTATTATTATTATAATAATAATTATTATTATTATTATTTTGGTCATTTCTGGCAGTGATAATAATAATAATAATTATTATTATTATTATTTTGGTCATTTCTGGCAGTGGTATTTGTTCCCCTGAATGGTATGTCTAGTTAGAGGCAAAGCATTACCTTTGAGCTTTAAACATGAAGAGGAACTTCCATTAGTATTTAGATTGTTATAAATTGGGGTTTTGTTGATTGTTTTATTTTTATTTTACAACCTGCCATCTATCTCACATATTTTCAAGGAGATGAAGAAGGGGTGTGTGTATGCATGTCCTTGTGTCCGTATTTTGAAGAAAACATTCTTGTTGAGTGTTCTTTTGGACTCTGGTTCATTAGTTCAAGAATACTTATCTACCATTCCACCCATTATTATTATTCTTGGCATACATATTGTGATGTTCCGAGTCTTAAAACCCTATTTGAAACCACCTGTATGGATACCCCAATACAGTTACGGATCTTTGTTTCTATGAGTTAGGCTTGTTGAGTTAGTTGAGTTGAGGTTGAGGCTTGTTTAGCATGCCTCACTTTAAATAAATTTTGTTTCCACTGAGCCTATTACTCTTTTCCCCCATTTCTCTTCACCTTCTCTCTCTCTAGACTCTCTTTTCATCTCCCTTCTCTCTCAAATCTATCCCATCACCCACAAATTCTTCAATCCAAGCAAATTAAAGAAGATTTTGATATTAGTTCTTTGAACTAAAGTGACGAGCGTGTCATTTTGACCGAGCAATCAAGATTTGGGCAAATTCGAAAATGGGGGATTTTTCTTCAAGGATGGATGTGTGGTATTTTCATTACATAAATTTAGAAATTTGTAGAGATTTCAAAGCATTTGTTATAAAAATCTAGGTTTGTTTTGTGTTATGTATTTATTGAGATACTCATCATTTAATGTGAATTGGGAAGGTTTTGGAGCATGTGATACCTTGAAATGGAAAAGCTTTAGGTAGCGTTTGGTAGAGATTTTTAAATATGATTTGAGAATAAGAGTTATATTTTGAGTTTGTGAGTTTTAGAATTATAATTTGAGGAAAATTTGTTTGGTGAAAGAGTTTTGAATTGAGTGGGGAATTTTTGATGTGACATATGATATTTGATACAAAAATTTACAACTCATAACCAAACACACAATTCAAAATTTTATTCATATCTCATAAAAAAAATTAAAAATTTTGGAAAATATTTTTTGTTTAATATATAAAAATTAACACGTGTTAATTGCCAAAAAAAAATAAAAAAATCACTGTTCTGGTCAACCGGGCGGACGACCGGTAGTGGGACGACCGGTTTGTCTAAATTTTTCCGCCTTGGACAGAACTTTCAAAAGTGAGTGTGGAATTAATTTTTGAAACTCGTAAACAAGCATCATGTGCAAAATAAGTTATGGAACTAACGCTCTAGTGCTGTATCAAACAGAGCCTTAAATTTTCTTAAAGGAAGCCTTAATTTTCTAGAATTTCATACATTGGAGAAATTAGAGATTTATAATCATGTTGGGAAATTGAAATTTAATTTTATTATTTGAAATGATGATGAGTTTGTTAAGAATGTATTAAATGAATACAACTTCCTCCAGTTATGTGGAAGTAGTAAAAAATTAAAATTTGTCATATTAACATAATTTGTTTCATAATAAGATCAAAACACCCTTGCTATTTTTCCCTCTATTATCTCTCTTTTGTTTCATAATTATTTATTTTTTTAGTGAATTTTTTAATATTTTAGTCAATATTTCATTTTTACATTTTAGATTCACTTAATTTAATTACACTTAAAATGAATAAAAATTAAAAACAATAAAACTCAAAATATTTTCGTACTTTAATCTTTACAAATATTTTTATTTTGAGTGGTGCTATTAGCACCCCAAGAATTATGTTGGACCCCCAAATTTTTAATTTTTTTTTTATTACAATAATAACCTTAAATGAAATTATTAAAAAGGACATCATTAATGTTGAAACACCCCATCTTACAATTATAGCTACACACCCACTATATCATGAATTAGGGTTTATGTGAACACCCACCTCTATCACCACTCATTCATTTTCCCCAAATCCCACCTTCAAAACTTACCTAACCCTTTGGCAACCATTTGATTATCCTACACTCTTCCAGCAATAACAATGAGTGGAAGTTTTTCGGGCAACTAAGTAATGTTCAGGAGTACAGGCCCGAACATAGAGACTTCTTAACACTTTCAACAGTCAAAATTGTTAAGGCTCCGAGAAGTTTGCATTTGTTCATGTTTGGGAATACAGGCTCAAACATTACTTATTTGTTTGGTAACGCCTTCCCGAACAAATAAGTAATGTTTGGGAGTACAAGCCCGAACATGGAGATTTCTTAACACTTTCAACAATCGAACTTCTTAAAGCTCCCAGAAGTTGGTATTTTTTATGTTCGAGAATACAGGCCCGAACATTACTTATTTGTTCGATAACGTGTTCCTGAACAACTATGTAATGTTCGAGAGTACAAGTCCGAACATGGAGACTTCTTGACACTTTCAACCGTCAAAATTCTTAAAGCTCCCAGAAGTTTGCATTTTTTTTTATGTTCGGAAATACAGGCCCGGACATTATTTATTTGTTCAGTAACGTGTTCCCAAACAACTATGTAATGTTCGGGCTGAACATGAAGACTTCTTAAACTCAATGATGATGTATATATAACGATAAAAACACAACAACAAATTTGAAGCAATCATAACAATCAAACACGACATAAATAACTCAAAAGCATTAATGATAATTTTGGGAGTGTTGTTCTTCATCTATGTGTTGGCGCTTCAATAATTGCATCACTTGTTTGAATGCATTGTACATATTTTTTTTTATTATTATTATTATTTTTTTTTTTTGGTGTAGGGGGTGTAGGGGTGTCCATTCAATTGGGTGTAATGTTTAAGGATAATTTTGATATTATTTGGGGGTGTAAAGAAATTTTTAGGGTTTTAAAAATTATAAATGGGGGTTCAAAGAAATAGGGGGTCCAAATTAATTCTTGGGGTGCTAATAGCACCACCCTTTATTTTTTAAGTAAATCTAGATTGACCCAAGGCAATTGTCCAATTGGTCATGAAAATAGCACTTAGGTGTCAAGATGAGTGAGTTTTCAGTTTCGAGTCTAAAAAAGTTTTTTTTTTTTAATTTTAAAAATTGATTAAAGCACAGAAAAAAAAATATCGATTAAAAACTCAAAACCAAACAGATTGAGTGTTCCCACAGCCACAAAAGATTAGATTTGGGGATTATTGTTTCAAAAATTTGAAAGAATAATGCTTGGGACCCCCTTTTGGGGGTCACCCCCTCACCCCCCCTTTGCCACGTGGCAGGGGGTGATTGGTGGAGCAGGAAAAAAAAGAAAAAGAAAAAGAAAAGGTAACCAATGAGAGAGAGAGGGGGTCAAAGGGGGTGGGGGAAAAGGGGGGATGAATCATTACTCAATTTGAAAATTAGATTTACTGCTCGAGTGCCTTATTTTATATGATTTTCTTTTTTAGGAAATTTACACTCCAGTGAATATTTTCAAAATAAATCTCAAATCAGTGGCAAACCTTATCTACTTTAATAATTGAAGTTATAAAATTTTTCATGACTTCGCAATTTTTTTTTAGTCTTACAATTGACTCACGATTTTTCCTTTCTTTTTTGGTGTGAAAATAATTTTTTAAAAATTAAAAGCATATATATTTGTTTTTATTTCCATCAAATTAGTTTCTAATTATTCAAAATAAATTTTAAAAATTCAACTAAACAACATTAGTTTTCACGTGATAAATTTAATTTATTATCATTATTATCTAACATGACACTTGAGTTAAAGAATCCTAATGTCAATTTCATGCGCCAAGACGGGTATTTTCATCTTAAAAAAAGAAGACATGAGATTTATTAACTTTTTAAAAAGTGTAATTCTACTTATACCACTATTCTATCTCCTTATCCTTATATTTTCATTACAATCAATTAAATTTGTACACCATCTCTTTACACTTTCTTATATACCAATTTTACCCTATTCAATGGTACCTTCCTTTACATCCATTTTCATCTCTCCTACATCCTTCTCTTCTTTTTCAAATCCTAATCTCACTACTGGCCACCTGTGGACGTTGTGCCTTTTTGGTTATCAGGCATATATTTTCGTACTATATTCTGTCAACTTGCTTTATTCCACACTAATAGAGTCACCATTTAATTTTATGGAAAATTAAGAAATCTTTAACAAAGAAAACTAAGTAAAAGACCTGATCCGTCATAATTAGAGAATTTCGAGTTTTGAAGCTAAGGTACAAAAGGAGAAGACTATCACGATCCCAACCCGCCCCTAGATGTTGGAGTGGTGACTGGCTAGTAATTATAGATTACCTACAGCCTCTTAACCAAATCACAAAATAGTTATTAAATATCGGGGCCTAAAGCATAAATAAAAATAGAAATAATATTATCCATTGAATTGTGCATACATTATATGAACCGAAATACTCAAAAACATTTAACAACACACTTATAATATACACAAACATTTATCTGATACACTGCCTAAGATCACATACATGGCTTAACAAAACTTAACAAAATAAAGCTTAACAAAGCTTGGCCAAAAACAAAAGCTAAAGCCTCAATATGGAGGCATTTCTTTGGATAGTCTTCTAAAATAGGTTGACTCCAAAGCAAACTCTAGTTGCAGATACTCACCTACATATATAGGGGAAGTGGGTGAGTTAGAATCCCAATTAATAATGTTAATGTAAAGAGGTTAAATGAATGAGTTCAAGAACTTAATAAAAACAATATTCATAACATGATCAAGCATTTTTCAAATATATTTATAATACATGAAGTTCATCAAAACTTTCATAGTTAAAACACATTACGTGGTACATTTGATAGCACCATACAAAATAAACAGAGTAAAGCTTGACAAAACAACCTCAAAGGATCGAAAACATACAGAACGTCCACATTGGTCGAGATCATACAGAACGTCCACATTGCAACCAAAACATACAAAACCTCTATAATGGGTCGATTACATACAAGAATGAAGCTATACAGAATGATCATACATGAACGGAGCCATGCAGAACAAACATCAAAGATCGACATCATATAGAACGTTTATAACGAATCAATAACATATACAAAACTTCTATGATGAGTAGAAGACTGAACAGAGGTTTCCAAAGATCAAGCATATTTTTATGGACATCACTTTAGATAATAAAAAAGGAATCTCATTCATTCTTATCGAAAACCATAATTTTGGAAAAGCTTATCATACTATAAACACTTAGCATATTTTATCATTTCAGAAAGTACTTGTATCGGAACACTTATCGTATTCGAACACTTATCATGTTCAATATACATATTTCATAAAACATCTCATGTTATAGCATTTTCAAAACCATTTATACAAAAATATCTTTACAAAGACATTATTCACAGTGCCTTGGTTCGGATGTTACTCCTTGGCGGTCCAACCTATAGAAAGCACATACACAATTTGATAAAACAAAAGCATTTCATTAATTTCCATTCCGTTTATTCATTCAGATTAGTTAACGCCGGTTTCTAAGTGTCTTTTAATTCTCGGTTAGTCTTCATATATGCATAGAGATGTCCGGAAAGTTGAAAAGGTCAAAGAACAACAAAACAAATTCTCTTGTTTTTCGCACGTGCAAAAGCTCCCAGCCACACATATAGTTATTTAGGTATGTTTAGCCCTATTTTGGTTTGACGACTGCACATGTGGTTCTGGGTTTCAAGAGCATTCTGAAATTTTGCAAAGTGTAAGCATTTGGAACTCAATTTGGTGACCAAAACTCATGCATTACTTAATCAAAGCATGAAAATAAACATGAAACATGATTAATAATTAACTTATTTGAATCAAAACCTTACTTAATTTCAAAATCAAAACCCAAATCTTCATAAACTCATGGTTTCCAAAAATTTTCTTCAAAATCAAATGTGTAATAAAATTGCATGGCTTAAATCCTCAAAGATCTTGATGCATGTAATTTATGAAGCTTAATTCAAGTATAACTTCTAAAATTGAACTCAAAATTGACAAATTAAAAGAATTATAACTCATATTCTTCAACCCAACTCAATTTTATATTCAAAACCCAATTATTGTCAAATTACATAATTAATCTCCAAATTACTTCTTGAATTCAAGTGATAGATGAATTAACTATAAGATTTTGGTTTGAATTTTTTTACCTTAAGCTTGAATTCTTTAGTTTTCCTTCAAATTCTTCACTTCTCTAAGCTTTCCTCCTTCAACTCTTGAGTTCTCTAACTCTCTCTCTCTCTCTCTCTAGGTTTTCTCTAACACATAAAAGAATACAACCCACACCTCTTGAGTCAACACAATTATACACACACACACACCAAAACTCTAGACTCTTCTACACTAAATTGATTAGGATTAATTTAATTACTAATTACACATTACCTTCATTAATCACAAATTAGTCTTGATTAACATAATTAGTCCATGACTTAATTAACTTAATCACTCTCAATTAAGGCTTAATTTAATCATATTAATTTTTATTAAACTAAATCAAATATTTAATTAATTTCCTATATGGCTCAATACATGAAATTAAACTGATTCAACTTATCCATTATATTTTCTTAAGCCATTTAGGCTTTCAATTTCTGATTCAGAAACAAATCCTTAACAAAAGCATATACAAATCAGATACAAATTATCACACACAATCAAACAAATATTTCACATAATCAAATCATATATAGAATATGCCAATAAATTCCAAAATCAAATTAGAATATGCAACTAAAACTCAAATCTCCATAATTAAATAAATGTAAATGATGCGTACGGTGTGGTTATCATAGTCTCTCCCCCTTCGAAAGTTTGGTCCACCAAACTTGTAGCACTTGTATCGGAAACAAATAAAATATCTTCATCTCATATCGCTCCATTTTCCAAATAGATATATATATATATATATATATATTTTTCTATTCGTCTTTCTTCATAAGAGTTCATCTCATTTCTTTGATAGTTAGCAGCTCAAATTGGTGATCCATCACAGTCTATATCGTCATCAAAAGCTATCTAGATGTATTTAGTTGTAATGCCCCGCAGAAAAACACAATAAAGACTCAATAACTTCCAATTTCATTATCTTGTTTCCAAATCAACAACTCCCACTGTTTAATGTATATGGAAAATAAAGCCTCAACATTTATATCATCACCAAATCTCCCACATTTGTTTTCATTAAACTCGAGATTTACAAAAACTATCCCACATGCAGTTTATACATTCAACATCCCTAGAATATGAATCTATAGCATGTGGCACAATATGCCAAGTACAAAACAATACCCTCAAGGGCTACAATTTCTATGGTTTATCCCCAATTACACAAAATAATGGTTTTCAAACCCATACATGTAAGGCCCTTGACTTATCAAAATAATTACAACAAAAGAGAAAGAGCCTTTTGCTCTTAAAATACATTTCACGCCTTTAACTCGGCGGGATCACCACATCATTTCCTGCACAAAATTCAATAGGGTGAGCACAAAGCCCAATAGGAAAAATTTTAACAAAGTATATACGTTTTATACAATCTCCTGAGATGAATGCTTATGTCATATCATGCTCAAAAACATATATTTGTATCTTTTGAAACTTTTGTGTACAATGCAATTTGAAGATACAACAATTCAATAACTTCAATGTAGTTTAAGAGGTTGTAAATACGATTTAGGTAATCCCTAGGTTGCAAGTAGGCATAACAAGCACTACTAATACCTACTTTACCAGTTGCTAACCGGAAGGCATGTGGCACCTCTTCCGCTTGTGTTTTCGGTCTTTCACTATGGACACTCAGGCCAACTTAATCAATATCAACTGCACCCATATTTGAACTTACAAACGTATTTACCGCAAAACAAATCAAAATGATCTTGTTTCACAAAACAATTCCTTTCTCAAGGCAATGACTTTCCATTGCAAGGTTCAAAATCACTTATGACAATGATTAAATGGAACGGCAATGAAAAATATAACAATGCATCAATATAGTTTCATTTTTCAATCCCACCACACAATCCTCCATTGTGATCAAATTCCCACATCTCTTATCAATATAACATCATAATATAATTCCAAGAGATAACATAACAATACCAACATTTATGTATTCTCCACATGTTAAACATCATTTTCTAAACTTGGTTTTCCAAGACAAACCAACAATAAGTTTTAAAATCAATAATTCCCATTTCTTCCATGAAATTCCTCATTTGATACAATTATAAAAATTTCTCCAAATTCTAGGGTTTTCACCATAACTAGGTTTTCGTTCCATTTTTTAAAGGATTTTTCGACAATAACACCCACACTATGGAACATAGCCCATATTCTCAAAAGCTTGAAAAATAGAGCAAATCTACTTCTAATATCATCTAGGGTTCACCAACCTAAAATCAAGATCCAAACATCAAGAAATACTCCAAACAAGTTTAGACTTGAAAAAACATATATATAACTCAAAGATTATCCATACCTCAAGCCTAGAAGAGGAAGGAGATGAAAACCCTAAAGTTCAATGTTGATGAAAACTCGATTCAGCCTGTGTAAAGGTAGCCCTCGTCGCCCTCTTCAATTTGGTGTAAAAAACCCCTCAAATTCTTGAAGATTTTTGCTAAATCTTTGAGAAAAGTTTGGATTTGGGTATGTTTGTAGAGAGAAGGGAGAGAAAAGATGACTATAGAGAAGTGAAAAAGTGTGTCTAACACGTTTTTGGCATCAGTTTTGAGGAAAAGAGCATGAAATTCAAGATAGGCGCGTCGAAATTCGCAGGAGCAATTTGAATTCTAATGCCTCCAATGGCAATTCGCTTTAGAGAAGAACCCATAAATTTTCCCAAAATCCGTTCGAGCGGAATATAGAATCCGCACAATCGGTTTTCTGCCCAGAAAACCCAGAAACCCTTGTGAGAATCCGCTCGAGCGGTTGCCAAATCCACACGAGCGATTTTGCCCAGAAACTCAGAATTTGATTTTTGTACTCCGAAACTAGTTCCAATACCCAAAATTCAAAAATTTAACTTGGAAAAGTTAAGAGAGATCAAGTAAGAGTAGAAAAGAAATCTCAACAACCCAGTACGGTAAACAAAACGCCGAAAGTAATGCACACTAACTAACTCTATACTAGTCAAGTCCAACACCAAGGACATCACACTATTCCCCCCTTAGGAAATTTCACCCCGAAATTTGGTCACACCTCTCACCAACCACCTCCAACGAAGAAGGACAATACAACAACAAAAGGCTCCGAATGGTAACAACCACACTAATGACAATAATGAATCCACAATAACAACAAATCAATTATAGCATGCAGATCTCAATCTCAAAAATGTTTCACTACCATCATCAAAATTTTCCATGGGCCAAGGCCACAATTCCAACCACCACAAATACAATAATCATAAGCATAAGTTCAACAACAAATGTAACAATCCTTTAACAGTTCTTATGCTTAAAAAGACAGCAACAATCATAACAACAAGTGGTTTACAATTCCAACGATTTATTCTCAAATGCCAGAGAAAATTACAATCTAGAACTAACTAAGCATTCTTAAATAAATCCGGATACTTGGAGCGGACTTCCGCCTCTCGTTCCCAAGTTGCTTCCTCAACCCCATGATGTCTCCACAACACCTTCACTAATGGTATAGTCTTGCCCCTCAACACTTGTTCTCAGGCATCTAAAATTTGAATCGGTCGCTCTTCGTATGAGGCATCCTTATCTACCCCCAAGTCAACCCAATCAAGTACATGTGAAGGATCAGGTTCATACTTCCTAAGTATAGATACGTGGAACACGTTGTGAACCCTAGAAAGTTGTGGTGGTAAGGCCAAATGGTAAGCCACTTCCCCAATCCGATCTAAAATGTCAAAAGGTCCAATAAACCTTGGAGACAATTTTCCACTCTTACCAAATCTCATCAAACCCTATTTCGGTGAGATCTTAAGAAACATATGGTCACCAACCTCGAAAGATAGAGGTCACCTTCTCTTATCGGCATGACTCTTCTGTCGGCTTTGAGTCGTAGCTAGCCTCTTTCAAATGAGAGCAACTTTCTCAGTCGTCTCTCTAACAATCTCAGAGCCTAACATCTACGCATCACCCACCTCGGCCCAACAAACTAGTGATCTACAAGGTCGGCCATACAAGGCCTCGAATGGTGCCATCCCAATACTAACCTGATAACTATTGCTATAGGTGAACTCAATCAATGGTAGGTGCCTCTCTTAAGACCTTTTGAAATCAAGGACACAAACTCTAAGCATGTCCTCCAAAGTCTGAATGGTAAGCATGTCCTCCAAACTCTAAGTGGTGCTAAGGGTCAATTTAGTTTCCAATGCCTCTTGAAGGCTTTGCCATAACCGGGCAGTGAAACGAGGATCTCTATCCGAAACAATGGTCATAGGGACCCCATGAAGTTGAACTATCTCTCTAATGTACAACTCTGCCAAATAATCAATTGAGTCGCCGGTGCGCATCGAAATGAAGTGCATAGACTTAGTCAACCTATCAACAATCACCCAAATGACATCATTACCCCGCTGTGTTCTAGGAAGCCCAATTACAAAATCCATGATAACATGCTCCCATTTCCACTCGGCAATAGGTAAGGATTGTAGCAAACCTGCTGGCTTTTGGTGCTCGGCCTTCATTTGTTGGCAAGTACGGCATTTCGAAACAAATAGGGCGACGTCTTGTTTCATACCCCTCCACCAAAACTGACAACTAAGATCATGATACATTTTAGCGCCTTTCGGATGTATTACAAGGTGTGAGTGATGAAATTCTTAGAGTACCTCTACTCTACAAGATTCCGACACAAACAAATGGTCTAGATACCTTACACTCAAATACGAGTTGATGTTCTAACCCTTCTCTTCCTTCCCAATGGAGATCCTATCGCGGATTGTTTCCACCTCAGGGTCACCCTATTGTGCCTCTATGACTCTGCTAATCAAGGTAGGTTGAACAATTAAAGTAAATAAGGTAGCACCCTCGCTAGACTCGCCCAGCTGCAAATTAAACTCACCAATATCACCTAGCATATCCGATTCCCGAATGGCAACACTTACCACACTACTCACAGATTTCCGACTCAAGGCATAAGCCACTACGGTGGCCTTCCCCAGATGATAATACAACTCAAAGTCACAATCTTCCATAAATTCCATCCATCTCCGTTGGCGTAAATTCAAATTTTTTTTGGGAAAATAAGTATTTTAGACTCTTATGATCAGAGAAAACACCAAACTTTTCACCATACAAATAATGCCTCCAAATCTTC